CAACACATTTTACATCGTATTCTGTGTTGCCCAGTCGGTTCACAAGGAGCCCTTCCACGCCACCCCCAAGGGCTTCTACTTCCGCTCCAAAACCTTCACCGACATTGAGCACGTGCTGGCCACCTTTAAGAAACAGCCAGTCGACCCGTGAGTGGTGTTTGCATGTATGTATGCACGTATGCATGTAGGGCCCTAGCGCATGCGTGTGTGTATGTGTATATGTGTGTATCTGTATGCGAAGGGAAGGGCTTCCCTCCTGGAGCAAACTGAAGAAAAATCAAGTAAATAAATAACTCGGAGAGTGATTTCACGAAACGTAACAGCCAAGGTATATTAGCTGTCGGATGTGCGGATGAGGAAGGTGGGTCCAATTCCCCTCCCACTCCCCAACCAATACACATTTGGAGATCTGTGCCTTGCCTTGTTTCTCCGTGTCAGATGCCCCAACGTCTGCTCGCCGTACATTCTCCTCCATTCCCACGTCCTTCTCCCCCACGTCCTTCTCCCCCAGGTCCAAACGCGCTGGTGCACACCGGGGCTCCGAAGCCGCGGGTGGCTACCCATCGGGCCCGGGGGGTGGAGGAGGGGGGCACCGAGATATGCCCCGCATGCGGACCGGAATGCAGGTGTGTGTGTATGTGTGCATGTATGTATGATGTGTGTCCAGATGTCCCTAGGAGTGTCCACAATCTGTGTTTGTGCGCAGGTACCTCACCTCACCTCACCTCGCCACGTGACATAGATTGCGTCATAAACCCATTTGACATCTGACACCAGCACAATTTACGGCACCAACATAACACGATGTACACACACACACTCTCACGCTCACACACGCACTAGGTGCTTGTTGACACTGTTGTAGTTATTGTTCTGACTAGGTGGTGGTGGTGGTGCTGCTGCTGCTGCTGTTGTCGTTGTCTCCGAAATTTCCACAGGGCGGCGGCCAGTACGGCGGGGGCATGCCGTACGGGCAGTACGGCTCGTATTACGGCGGTGGAGGCGGCGGTGTGGGGGGGAGCCAGTACCCGCCGACGCAGGCGTACGGCGGGGGTCACGGCATGTACGGCGGTGGCGGGCAGCACTACACTGGTGGCCGGGGCGGCGGCGGTGGATACCCGCCGCCGCCGCCGCCGTACGGCTCCCAAGGCGCTGGGTCGTACCAGTACGGCCAGCAAGGTGGTGGGGGTGGAGGATACAGTGGGTGGTAGTTAATGGTTCGTTTTGGCGGTTCCCTTTCCAACCAGCGCAAGCCCTCCCGGTTTCGGAGCGGCCTTGTGTTCCCCCCTATCGCTCACTAGGTAGTTTAGGGCACTGTGTACTCGTATGTATGTATGTAAGTACGTATGTGTGTATGTATGTATGCTGCTGTACTGAATTGACTGTACTGCTTTTTGTGTCGCAGCTCAATCCTTCCCTTCCCTCCTCCAGCTCCCCTGGCCCCTCATCACATTCATACATACACACATTTCGGGGGTGTACATAGCATAATGTGTTGTTCAAGGGGTGGTGGGTGAGTATATGAATGGGTGAGGGTTGGCGGAGTGGAGGGGCTGAATGCCTTGTTGGGCGGCGTGTGTGTGTGTGTGCGCGTTTGTGTGTTTTGATGTATGTGTGTGCGCGTTTGTGTGTTTTGATGTGTGTGTGTGTGTGGAGGGGAGGGGGCCGATTAATGTGGTTGGTTTGCGTAGTGGCAGAACCCCGCTGTTGGGACGGTGTTGCCAAATTAGGCGCAGTGAAATTACTGCTGCTATCCGAAATGTAATGCTATGTACGTATGTATGTATTGTGTACGTGTGCGAGGGCTGGGGGTTCAGGGGTTTTAGGGTTTCTAGGTGGTGGTGTTGGCGTTGGTGGTAGTGGTGGTGGGAAGGGAAGTAGGCACATGTACACATGTATGTATGTATGTTTAAACGCATGAGTAACAACGGGGGAGGGATGATTGGCGGTGACGATGATGATGATGAGCGGCGAGCAGTGGCAGTAACATTGCTTCCTGTAAATAGCGGCAGTGGTAGCGTTTAGTGATAGTGGTAGTGGTAGCGATAGTGGACCTAGCGGGGGTGGGAAGGAGGTGGAGGTCTAGAAGTAGGTTGCGCAGGTTGCGCATTATTAGAGGCAAAGGATATGCGGGGGATGTGATGATGTACGGACTTTACGGACTTACGGACAATTAGGTTGAGAGGGAGAGAGAGAGGGGGGATGTAAGAGCGGCGACAGTCCTCTCGCCTCGCTCTGTCCGGTTCCTTCACCTTCACCTTCACATCACTCGCCGGTGGCAGCCTATTATTTTACAACCCGCGGACGAGGTACGGCATGTGTGACGGTTGTGGTACAACTGTAATCGGCTCACCTGGGTTTCGGAGCTCTGCTTGAAAGAGTAATACAGCCATCGGGGGGGTTTAGCCTGTGTGTGCGGCACACAGGGGTGTGCCTTGTCCTCCTTCTGGTGCTTGTGGGCCGCGTGACGGTTTCGCTCTCGTGACGCGTTACTGTTGGGATCCGTTGTCTGTTGCTGGGCTGTTCACGTGTGCTCAATGTTTCCCAAAACCATGTAAGATCCTTGAAGTTATTAAAGTTATATTTTTGTATTTTAATGACTACTGAGCCGCGAGGGGGAAATGTGACACGTGTCCTCCCATCCCCCAGTTTCGGGTGGTGTCGGTTGACAGTTGTTAGACAGTTGTTGGACAGTTTTTCCCTTACATATAATCGGAAAGAGAGCTCATCAGTTTTGTATATAATAGCCGTGTGTGCTACATGAAGGGATGTCGAAGGAGTTGAGAACAGCAGAACAGTACTTGCATTGTCTAAATGACCACCTGCAGAGGCCTCAAGCGCACCCACTACAGACAAATCCTCTTTTGGGCAAGCCGAAAAACGCGATGCGTGTGGTTTACGTGAGCAATCATTCACTTTGCAAAATAACTCGTTTGTTCCTCCCTATGGCACTGATTGGGTCGGTGACCCATGGGTTACCCACCTTTAACCCCCGGTAGCCCATTGGTAACCCCCTTGTACAAGTTTTACAAGTTAGAAGTGCCCCTCTCCCGCCTCTCCTCGCCATACTGAGAATACTTTGCTCATTAATTTCCCTACCAAAATGAAACCGCTTTAAGAGCGCTCTCAACGCGATCTTAAGCCATATAAAGCACAAGTGGATGCCGCTGTTAAGGGGGTGTTTCCACTTGGATTAAAAGTCGAGGATTAAGGCTTAATCCGTCGCATATGGAAACATCGCGCGGATTAGGACGGATTAGGCGGATTAAGGTTGGCGCGATTAGTTAGAGATTTTCGTCCGTATTCACGCGCTTCGCGGATTAATTATAGATTAATATGCTATGAAATGCGAGCTTTCTGCCTATACTAAAAGCTCAAACTTGGTGCGAAAAATTTGCTACCTGGTGGCCACCGGGTATCAAATTGACAATCTCGGATTAACACTTTTCACGACGCCTCATAAAAAGCCTGAGTGATAGGTTGGAAGGTTATCCTTTATAAAGGCTGTAGGTGTTCCTAGTTTTGTGGAAGCTTTGTGCTTCTTGTTCGGCATTATGCACCACACCGTGGGTGTCGTTCAAAGGTGCTACAAGGCCTTCATGTTGATACTCGATAGTCTTTTAAATGTCTGGCAATACTCGTTTTTGCATTTTATGCACGGAATGAGCAAGTGTCGTACTTCAATCCGTTTCTTAATCCAGACGTATGAAACACTCCGACGGATTAGCGGTGGATTGGCGCGGCTTAAAAATACCTTAATCCGCGACTTTTAATCCAAGTGGAAACACCCCCTAAGAGCGTTCTGAGAACGCTCTTATCTGCCTTGTTTTAAGATTGTGCCTTCTCAAGCGTTCTTAAGCGATCTCAAGAGAGCGCTCTTTGCAGGGAATCTCAACCGTTCTCAGCGATCTTACCCGTTCTCAAGGACATTCTCAACCCATCTTCTCACGCATTCTTAAGCAATCTTTCACCACTCTCAAGCATTCTTACACCGTTCTCTCACCATTCTTAAGCGTTCTTACAGCGTTCTCAAGCGTTCTTACAGCGTTCTCAAGCGTTCTTACAGCATTCTCAAGCGTTCTCAAGCGTTTTCTTACAGCATTCTCAAGCGTTCTTACAGCGTTCTCACAGCGTTGTTACAGTGTTCTCAAGCATTCTCAAGCGTTCTTAAACCGTTCTCAAGCGTTCTTAAACCGTCCCCCAGCGTTCTTAAACCGTTCTTAAGGGCGCCTTCAAACAGAGGTATGCCCAACAAAAACCTAGGGCCATCATCTCGCTAGAACCCGATTCTCACAGCAGACCGCTTTCTCATTCGGGCAGACACACATATGAGGTCCAGGTCCACCACGCCAGCACTTATACCTACAACATATCTACAATCACACGCTCGATCCATGCTGGAACTGAATATGGTACTGCAGCCTACCAAATGAATGAGTGTTACGATGGATCCCTGAACGTGATCACCAGGCCTATGCTGAGGGGCTCACAACAAGGCGCATGGACAGGACAGCCCAATAGCCAAGTACAGCCCCACACACCGCCTACACTTCCCACACCTAAGGTGGTTCCTAACAGGGCGTGTATCACTCCAAGTCCACCGCATCCAACTGCTTCTTGCTCAGCCCAGTGGTCCTCATGGCCCACTGGACTGCGGTCATCTTGCCCTTGCCTGCGAGCAATCCCACAATGGGCCATCGCACCTGCAGACAGAAGCAACCAGAACAAAGTCAACACATGCGATGCAAACATAGTATCATAGCTCAACCTTGATTTACCTTCTGGAATAGGCGGAGTGGCCGGTCGTTTGGTGCAAAGGACTGGCCAGTCGGGGGAATGTGCAGCCAAGGTCCTTGATGACTGCCATGGCGCGGCCAATCACCAGGAGATCAGTGCAGCCGTCAGCGGTCTCATTGTCCTGTATGTTCATAGGGGGTAAGAGGCCAGGCGGCAGTTACAAGCACGCAGATGGAAGTTCTTTGTTAGGGTACCAACACATACAGACACACAACAGACCGCCTGTCAGACCACGTGTAAACTTACCAGGTCGCCCAATAGTATTGCAGCCCCCAAAGCCTCGGGCTTGATGTCCTCCTTCTTACGTGCTCCAACAAGGAAGCAGCCCTTGGTCTTCCCCACGAGGTCACATTCTTGCAGGTACACAAGGTGTCGCAGAGCTTCTCACAGACCTCGTAGGCATGAAGGAAAGTACCGTCGTTGCTTGCAGACAGGGTGTACTGGGATGGCCAGCTAAGGATGGCCGCCAGGACACGGCCAGCCTCATTGTTGAGTATAAGGCCGTGTGAATCAGCGAGCTGCTTTTGCGCATCGGTGAAGATGCTGAGGTAGGCGTCAGGGTCAGGTGCGACCTCCACAGCAGCTTCCACGGCTGCGTCATCGTCGGTCCTGGGCCGTTTTTTCTGCGCCG